TGTATGTATGTATGTATGTATGTATGTATGTATGTATGTATGTATGTGTGCATTCTTTGACTTTATTTGGTCTGTGGACCAAATAACAGGGGGACACTGCACTTAACCTGTATTTTTTCTATTTTTATTTATTTATTTGTATATTTTTGCTTGATTTGATTCTAACTTGACACTGTTTGCCCTTTAAGCTGCTGGTAACCTTAATTTCCTGAGGGAGTAGTCCCAAAGGATCAATAAAGTCTGTCTAAGTCTAAGTCTAAGTGTAAGGATACATAGGTTTTTTTGTATACAAACAGAGAATTATTGTCCAGCCAAACCCCCTTCAGGAAATCACAGTTGCCACACAAGGAAGTCAGTGTGTTGAATAAACCACACCTACTGTTCAGTCAACAGTACTTTGGTCGGCATGGCATCGTGTACGTCCTATTTTTTTCTTTTTTCCGCTGGTAAAGACTATAGGACCATTTTATGAAATGACTCCGTGGATTTGACTTAAGCCAAGCAATAGAGCTCTCACGGTACTGTCGTCCTATAAGTTTTAATAGAGTAAGTCCATTCACAAAAGGCTGAGAGGATTTAGACGCTTAGACAATGCATCTACCTTATATTGTCTTGGGATAAGGGTAACAAAGCCATGGAGTCACCAGTTAATAACTATGCAACGCAAATACCCCACCCAAGCCGGTATTACAGGTTTTCCTTGTTCATACTATGAAAGCTGCCTAAGCTCCTCCCACTATGAATAAGGCACTGTGGGTCTCTCTAAAAGTGACACTTCTGATAAGTTTGGCATGGTTAGTGTCTTTTAAAATACTGCCCCTCAGCGCACAAAGAGCCTTTGCGTTGGGCTATGTGGAAGGGGTGACGAAGAAAAGAGGAATCTTGCTAGAAACTGGAAACCTGTTGGAGATAGGATGGTGCAACCAGGAAATGCCGGCGAGAAGAGTGAAGAATATCTCTCTTCAGACCTTGAGGATCCAGGAAATATGAGAATGGTAATCCTTAACTTATAACTGTCAGGTCAGCTGTTGCATAATGATGCCCCAGTCAGTTGGCCATGCGTTTGAGTGATAAGCTATTGCAGAAAAAGTGAAAATAACTTTCCTGCAAGGCACTATCATGACTGATTATAGCACATTGTGTGTGTGTGTGTGTGTGTGTGTGTGTTTGTGTTGTGCACGTTTGCTTTTAGTGCCTTATTCAAATTGTCTTTTGAACATGCAAACAATATCCCATTTGAGCAAAATTGTGTTTTGATATGGCAAAGATTAGAACTAAAGGTTATCTTATACTGTGAAAGGTGACTTAAAGTCTATACAGTGTGTATCTTGAAGGATAGCCCACACTTGTGTTTGCATATGCTGTCAAATTTTTTGTTACCCTGTTGTAATCCTACTAGTGGACACCTGAGACATCGTTTCTTCCAGTCATGGGAATTTCTCCCATCAAGGTTCTTTTTTATAGTGTTTAGGTTAGGCTGTATTGAGGTTTTGATCAGGATTGGGTAGAAACTTAGGGTTTAGCTGCCCAACAGCAAATTTAATTATAATTGTGTTTGATCAAAACAAGATTTTATTGTCATTGTTAGAACTGGGTTATACTTATGTTTAAAGTCATGCTTTTTTTTCTTTTCTTTTAATTATTTTAAAAACATTTTTGGGACTTCTTTCCACAGAAATACTGACTTATTGGGACCAAAGCCGGCACTTTGTAATATCTGGGTCCTTGTTAGGTGACTTTAAATTAAGATTAAGGTATTGCAATATTGCAAAATTGTTTGGACTTGGCTGTTGTCAGAATTCTTAAGCTTGAAAGATGAGCTCAGCGGAGGATTACTACAGAATCAAGGTGTTTATATGTGAAATGGTAGACATAGAGACAGAACTAGGTCCAGATTAAACTTTGGGGGACAGATTTGTGGTGGCCTTAACCAGCTGGCTCTTGAGTCAAGCTAACAATATCCTTTTTAGGAGATCGGCTCGAACATGTCAGAAACAAGCAAGCAGTTCCATTCTTTTATCTTGTTTTTAAGGATCTTCCCTTGACTGAAAACCCGGACAAAGAGTCCTGCAAAATGGCTTTGGCCTCACCCCAATCCCAGCGGCTAAAGTACATGTCACTGGGGGTGCTGGTGTTACAAACCACTTCGCTAGTGCTCATCATGCGCTACTCCCGGACCCTAAAAGAGGACGGTCCCCGCTACCTGGCCTCCTCTGCTGTGGTTTTGGCTGAAGTGCTCAAGATCTTTGCCTGCACCCTCCTCGTCTTCACGGAGAACAGTGAGTAGGAAAGCGCGGGGGAAGGTGGAGAGCCTGAAAGAGGAGCTCTGCTTTGTCCTCTGGGTCAGTTCCCAGGTGAAGATTAAGCACTGCAACATAATACGAATACTTCCATTTTGCTTCAACAAGCTTCACCGGTCGGTTCCTCGGTTTCAAATGACCGACAGCACTCTGTCCTCATCAGATTTCAGTTTCGTGGCGATGAATCTGCTGCTGAAGGAGGAGATTGTGAACAAGCCGGCGGAGGCCATGAAGCTGGCTGTGCCGGCGGCGATCTACACGCTGCAGAACAATCTGCTCTACATTGCCCTCTCCAACCTTGATGCAGCTACCTATCAGGTTACACATGAATATATGTCAGCTTGTTCACTGTGTGTGTGAGTCTTTGTGGGGCAATTAGTGTCCTGTATAACTTCATTTTTGTTTTGCAAATCTGAGACTTTAGTGGGCATCTATTATTATTATTATTATGGTCAGAGTTGGTGTAACATTTTCCAACGTATACAGTGGGGGAAATAAGTATTTGACCCCTTGCTGATTTTACAGGTTTGCCCACTTACAAAGAATGCTTATTTTTCCTCATCAGATGGTTATCAATTTTTATAAATTCATATGATGTGATTTTCTGGAATTTTCTATGGGATTCTGTCTTTCACTGTTAGAATGTACATATGATTAAAGTTATGGATCGTTGCATTCTTTGTAAGTGGGCAAACCTGCAAAATCAGCAAGGGGTCAAATACTTATTTCCCCCACTGTATACCCTTATTACTCTCAAATCTATCAGATTAGCTTAAAGGGATTCTGCAAAGACTGAAAATGTATTTTTAAAAGTCTCGTCTGACACACCACTGGTGTCTTTGTGCTTCACGCAGGTCACTTATCAGTTGAAGATCCTCACCACAGCGCTGTTTTCAGTCTCCATGCTTGGGAAGAAGTTAGGCCTCTACCAGTGGCTTTCCCTGCTCCTCCTCATGGCTGGAGTCACACTGGTGCAGGTACCAGCCGCTGTGTCCCAGAGCTGTGTCCTCACTTCCAAGGACTTTGTTGTCCTCTGCATGTGAATAATTTAGGGTGTTTTTTTTTTTTTTTTACCTCAACAGTGGCCCACAGACTCGGGAGCAGACTCGGAGCAGAAGATAGTGACCGCGGGCTCCCAGTTTGTGGGGCTCATGGCTGTGCTGATAGCCTGCTTGTCCAGCGGTTTTGCGGGAGTTTACTTTGAGAAGATTTTGAAGGAGACCAAACAGAGCGTTTGGGTCCGTAACATCCAGTTAGGTGAGTTGTTATGGTCTATGTCTCTATCGCAGATTGGACATTTCTGCTCTGATTCACGAATCACCAGTCTGTTTTATAGATGATATATTAAATTGAACCTTTCTGAACTACTGCGGGGGTCTTGCATGATATGTTAGAGAATAATATTGGTATCAAATTCTCATAAAGTAGCAAAACGCCCCACTAACAAATCAAACCTTTTGGTTCTTGAGGCATAAAAGTCAGTCTTGCAGGTCTGTGCCTCAACACAATAATATAATATCAGAGATATTTAACAGTTTTCGATTTCCATAGTATATAAACAATATTAAACAATACACCTACTTGTATTACAACACCTTGTGCCCTTTCATATTATTAAAGGTATCAAGGGGATTCCTACGAGCATTTAAAACTCTTTCTCGATCACCATAAGTGGGTCACAAACAGCGCTGTTCTTTTTCCATCTTTGTTGTCTTCCTCTCTTTTTATTCTACTCAATGAATAGTTTGTGCATTAAGTGTTTTAGAGAAAGAGAGTTAAAAAAAAACTCAACAGCCTTGTTTAACATGGTGCAAAGTGAGAATCCTTTCTTTACAAAGTGAGTGGCTCATGACTAAACCTGTTTGTTTGGAATGACGCAAAATGAGAGACTGTAAGTATGTATTCCGGTCTCTCTTCAAATAAAACCTCTAAAAAATACTCGGGTTACTGAAAATGAGAGAACATTGAAAACAGAGCAGTCAGCTATGGATGACTCAGCAAGTAAAAAACCTCTTTGTTGGACATAATGGATTTTTTAAAAATTGTTTGGCAATCAAACGTTTCAGAACTAAGCCTCGCCTCTTTTCTGTTTTGTCTCTTTCAGGTGTGTTCAGCTTTGTGTTTGGCTTTATAGGAATGATAATTTACGACAGCCAAAGCCTGAGGGAGTCGGGGATGTTCCAGGGCTACAATAGTATTGCCTGCACAGTAGTTGTCCTTCAGGTTAGGTCATTACAAATAACTTTTTTTTTTTCCCCTTATCCGAAATGTCCAATTGAAATGACTCTGTTTGGGTGTCTGTAGTTTTGCTTCGACCCTGACTGATCTTTGTCTGCAGGCTCTGGGCGGGCTGGTCATTGCAGTGGTGATAAAATACGCAGACAACATCCTGAAAGGATTCGCCACATCTCTGTCGATAATTGTGTCTGCTTTTATTTCGTATTTCTTCCTCATGGATTTTAATCCCACGGGGTAACTATGCAAACGCCGAATGAACTGACGAATATCGCATGTTTGCGGGATTCATTTGAACTCATTTTTCTGCTCTTTGTCTGCTACTTCCTCAGGATATTCTTCACGGGGGCATTGCTGGTCATTGCCGCCACGTTTCTTTACGGCTACGAAGGGAAACCTGCCAGCGGCGGTGCCATCAGAGTGTAGTCGGGGAGCTCTTTGAGCTGTGGTGCCTGACAGAGGAAATGGCAGCCTCTCGGCCCGGGCTGAGCAGGGACTATGTGAACTGTGACCACCACTTTTTGACAAGTGGAACCCGCACACGCAGGGAATGAAAAAGCTACACAAGTGCCTGCTACTGCCAAAAAAGCCACAGCTGTTACGTGGCTTTGCACAACGGATGGTGGAAGGACCGTATACCGGGAAATAAATGTGTGTGTGGGGAATGCTTCACTTGGAACAGTGAAGGATTACGGGGACGTCTTCTTGCCATGCCAGCACATGCTGTTACAGTCAAACAAAATAGAATGAGATGATGATTAAACCTTCACGGATGCTTGTTTTTACTTTAGTGCTTCCCATATGATATAGGAAGTTTGAACAGGATACCGGATATTTACAAAGGGAGCGTCAACCATGCTGATGTTACCTGGGTCAGAGAGGAGAACAAAGCTTCCATCTAGTGGTCGAATTAATAAAGTTACTGCAAAGAGGAAGGGTCACACCTGCCCAAAGATACTGATTTTCCTTTTTTCTATGAGATTGAATATACCTAAAAAAATCAGGAAGATGGCTGCTCTCGCTTTCCTGCGGACATTCTTGGTATTTGAATCAAAAGCACTTTTTCAACAGTTATTGAAATGCAAAATAAAGCTCTCATCAAATCACAGAATTGATGTGCTACAAAAAAGCTGCCTTGATCCCTTTTTACATCAAAGTGCCTGCATCTGTTTGTGTTTGCATGCACCCTTCCACTACGGCATACACACTGAGCCGGGCACACCCATGAATATTTTGAGCATCTTTTTTTTCCTTTTTTTTTTTTTTTAGTTCCAGTTGCAGTGCACCCTGGAAAACCAAACCAGTCTCTATAGCAACAGATGGCTGAAGAAGCTGAGGCGCTGTGACACAAATGTAGACCAGACCAAGTTACTGCGGCCTAGTTTAACCTCAGAAGATATCTGCAGAAGGTGTTCTAAAACCATCTGATGATCATACAGACGCACGCCGTGTTCAGCGGATACATGTTTGCATAGTTGTTGACAAGAGTTGGAAATTTGGCAATAGGGTGTGCATGGTGAAGCGGGCAGATGGGGGCGGAGGGGAAATGGTGCAGCCATACGGGAAGGTGAGGCGTGAACATGGAGAGAGGCACAGATGGAGAATGAGTCATGTGACATGCGTGTGGAGTGGCAGGCAAAGGCTTGGACAGAGTTCAGACATGACATAGCATGATCTCCGTCTGTGTTCACCTGCAGATTATTTCCACAAAATACAGATGACATGAGACATGACAACATTGGTGTCTAATCCCACACAAAGGGATACATTTAGATAAACAAGACTGACAAAATTTCAATACCTGACATGACCTGATGAGAGCCACATCAAATCTAGGCTTTCTCTGAGTTCAGCTGACTGTTACCGTCTTGTTTTACAATTGGTTGTATGGCAGTATTCCAAGTAATGTCACTGATTGAAAGAATGTCTGACATAATTTATTTAGCGCTGTGAAAGATCAGGCACATCTCACACATGGTGTCACCGACCTGAATGCATTCGATGCAAAACAGAGCCGTGTGCGCTAAAAATATGTTGGTGCGCAAGTTTGACGTGTAAGCAAAAGTCCAGTGAAAACTAACGCACATTTGCTTCTTCTTTCAGACTTTTATGCCAGGCGGGTGCTGTTAATACAATCTGATATATGAGTTAAATCTTACTCTAAAAAGACTCATATAATACTTTGTTTCTTTAAAATTATCTGCATACATCCTTTAATACTGGTACTGAGTGTGCTGAAGGCCATGGTTGGCACAGATGAGGTTTAACCAGCCTGCATTGCATTGCATGGTTGGCTGACTTTTCAATCAAAACGTCTTCAGGTAACAAGTTATACAAAACAAATGCTATCCTTAAACTTCTTCAGGACAGTTTTTCTACTGTCCCACTCACTCTCTCTCATGCAATGGGATCTACATAAGGATGCAGGATGCAGTTCTTCTAGTGGGCTAATGCCTCAATGGGACATCTAAAAACCGTGTTCGTTCTTTGCGAAAATGCAAGCAGAGCTCTTTATGTACTCCAAACCTTATCTGATAAGCCTTGACGCCACACAAGGTCCTCGACAACAGTTATTTGTAGGCTTATTTTTCTGACTTTGTGCCATGTCAGATCAATGACGTAATATCCACTTTGGCTTATAGTATCGGTCCTCTTTGAGTCCCTCAGAGATAAGGAGCCGGAATAAAATCCAGCAGGCTTGATGAGCTCATTGCCATTTGCTTCAACTGCAACACCCTATTCATGGAAAGGGAACGCTTATTCTTTTGACGTGTTATCATCGCACGGGTTTGACCTTCTTATTTAGGGGGTATGACGACGAGTGGCGCCCCCCTCCGAGGCCTCCACATTAGCACTTGGGCATCGTTAGCGTTCGGCCTCCCCAGTGCGTTGGGAGGAATGGGCTCCTGGTAGTTGAGGATGTGTGGCTGCTCCTGGTAGGGACGACCCACCAGTGAAGCCCGAGAACCCAGAGGCATGTCGGGATCCACAGCAATGTCGACCCGCATCCGCCACCGCACTGTCTGCAACACAATGCGCTCCTGGAGGAGGAAGAAAGCACAGCGTTCATGTGAATGGGATTTCAAATGTGCATAATTTGTTTTAAGCGCATTAAGACTGCCTTGACAGTGCCTGATTTAAATTAGCATCATGTCCTCCACTGCAAATAGATATGTGTTTATCTGAGCCAACAAAATATCTAATTTTTTCCGCACATTTTGTGACTGATAAACAAGATAAAGAACTTTAAAACAAGTCTAGGCCCATTCAGGAACAGTCATGTTCAGGATAATTGACACCACACTGTGTTTTACACCTACACAAATCAATGAAAACATCAATAGAAAAGAAGGAAAAAAGAAAAAAAGTTCCACTTTTTAACTTTTTTTTAATAACATGGTTATAAGAGTAAGCCTTTTTGTGGCCCTTTAAGGGGCTGCATTCGGGAAACAAGAAGACATTGATGAGGTCATTGAAAACTTTGCACCTGCGAAGTGCTTAGTGCGGCAGAAATACTGATTTACAGTTCTATAGCCCGGTGCTCTTTATTCTAACCTTTACAAAACACGTGTGGTTTGTGGAAATTCACCAAAAGGAATTCGAGCAAAATAAGTCTTGAGAGTACCGAGATGGCTCGGGAATTTTGGATTCCTACCTTTGTGACAGAGTTCATGGCCACCAGCCAGGTAATGAAGCTCTGGTCCCTGGTGATGTGGGTCAGCATGGGTGTGTTGCTGTTACTGATGGGAACTGCCCACGTTACGCTGGGGTAAAAGTTGTCGTTCATGCTGACTGTTAGTCGGGACGGTTTGGACGTTGGGCCGGTCAGGGTCACGGTTTCTGTGGTGTTTCCGTACCAGGGGTAACTGACGCCGTCGGAGTCGCTAATAGCTTTGACCCTGCCCTCTCGCAGCTCAGGCAGCTCCCAGCTTGACCTGTAGAAGAGAACGTTGAGAGGAGCCGTCAGAGTTCAATGCTCTTATGTGTGTTCCATCTCAAAATACATCAAGAAACACATGGGAATGTATCCAAATCCCTACACTTACATGCCAATATCCCCATATGTGTTGTAGAACTCCATCTGGGTACAGGCTTGGATCCAGCCCACCACCCAGGTCTCATTGCGAGGCACTGGTGGCATCACAACACCCGCCGAGGCCCTGAAGTAGGGCGTCTTGTAACGGAGCACGATCGGCGAGTTCTCCTCAATGATTGTGGGACACTGGTCAATCGAGGCGGACACCTCGTACACCACAATGTTCTCCCGTCTGATGCGGGGCTTGCATGCAATGCTCTGAATACAGCCCATAGTGCAGACAGCGAGCAGAATGAGCAAAACCAGAGAAGAAGGGAGCAAGTGATACCTGGCCAGTATGCTCATCGGTCTCCCCCGGGGTTCCACCCTTGCCTTGAAGAGCAGATCTAATCTTTTAATTGCACATCACCCAGTGATTGGTTAGGAAGGAAAAGAGAGCGCAAAGGAGTCCCCACAGTCACCATTGATCAAGGCTGAAAACGTCCACCATCATATCACCATGGACGATAGGGGCGAGTTGAGCGGAGGGGGAGTAGTACATCACAAATCTCTGCAACCTCCTCCCCCCCGGTCTGACTGCCGCACTGCCCTTGGCGCTCGTCCCCAGAAACTGCAATCCGGCCTCCCCTGGGCAGTCGCTGCCTTTTCCGCCGAGCGCCCGCAGGCTCCTGCGCTCCTCGTCGAGTCTGCGCGTCCGGCTGCACGTCGGTGCCCCTTGGTCCTGCTGCTCTGCTCCCGGCTCTGCGCTGTCATGTCAAGTGGCGACAGGGCAGCCAGGTGCGTCAGAGGAGTAGGAGGAGGAGGAGGAGAGCTGGATGCCTTTTGTTTGCCTGGCTTTCCCTGTTATCAGCCCCCTAACATCTACGCGGCGCCCTTAAAAAAAAAAAAAGAACAAAATCGGGCTCTTCATCGCTTTGACCTACATGAAAGGAAGCGTCACCAAAACCGACGTGTACTGTAAAAAGGCGAGGGGGGTTGGGGGGAGCACTCTAACGCGTTAAATTGAGTGTTTTCCACGCCGCGAACTTCCATTCGTGGGGATCCATGAATGGTGTTCCATGAATGGAGGCAGCGAGGCAGCATTAACGTCCGGATAGCATACGGCGGGTCGGTTAGCAGACATATCGCGATGAAATGTCTCCTCGGGCAGCGGAGCGGAAGGGACAAGGGAGCATCCTCTTCCAGCAGCGGGTCGCCTCGTTCGGTTTTGAGGTGCTGATGCTGTAGAGAGGCAGGGGAGGGGCGTCACCCGACCTCTGCATTGAAAAATATAACAAGTGCACGCGGGCGTGGTTACGGACGGCATCACGCCCCGTGTGCCGAAGCCCATTGGTCGAAGAGGTCGATAGCGGAAGTGGTGTCGTTTTGGCCCATCTAGCGACACTGACACGCATTCACCGGTCATCACGGCGCTTTGTCGTTCGTACCCGGCGCTGGTTTATGTTCGGCCGTTTGTTGGGCAACGTGTGTCAAAGGGTGCCCAGCTTGTCGTACAGGGTGTCGCTCACCATGAAGCCGCAGGTTGTGTTCGTTCTTGGCGGGCCTGGCGCCGGCAAAGGGACCCAGTGCTCCAAAATCGTGGAGGTAAGAGGAAAAACGCAATGAAAAATGCCAGCTTTGTCGAGATATCTTCAACCTATCATGGTGATAACTGCGTTTGGTGGCCTCCTGAATAGGTTTATCTTCTATTTACACAATTATTAAGATGTAATTACTCAATTTTTATTGACTTCCGGTGTCCTCCAAGAATGAACTTGTATGTTAGCCAGCCAGCTAGCTAGTTAGCACAAAGGATATACAGTTATATGGATTTAAATGAGCAAAAGCCATGTTACAGGAGCCACACAATGCCGCTTTAACAGTTGTGACTCCTCGGAAACTCTTCAGCATTATTCTCTATGAGAGAAAATGTCGTTCACCCTTCATTAGTGTTATGTGCAAACAAGCGAATTAAGAGATAAAGTAAATCTTATTTTTAACCCTGACCCAAAGCAAACAAAGCCAACAGGATATACCCCACTGGTTTTACATCCGTATACTATCCTTGTCATTGGCTTTTTAACGCGGATGGAGTTATGTAATGGTGCGACCAAGTCTGATGTGCACTTCCACCTTTAAACAAACACAAGCTCCCACTGACAAGATATTAATGGAATTTATAACTGGTTTGGAATTCTTGCTGTCTAAAACACAAAACAAAACTTGAAGTAATCAAGTTGTCTGTGATTTCTTCAGTTCCTTGTTTTCTATGTTGATATTTGCTATGAAGGGTAAAACAAGGCCAGTCTACACTGGCTATACCTAAAGAACACATCAAAGTCAGTTTCCAGGACGTATTCAAATGGCAAAAAGTGTCAAGTTTTCTTTAATGCATCATCTGTTTGTTCACTGGAGACAGTTGTAGAGCTTGGTTTCCATCAAAGCAGTTTGAAAAGCGGAAACTCTCCAGCAGGATGCTGTTTTGATCTGAGTCTACAAGGAAAAATGTGTTAAAACAAGTTGCCTCGGCTCCGTTGGGGCAGGAGGATTTGCCTTTTTTGTGTGCCTGCGTTTGTCTGTAAGGGAGAACTTAAACGAGAGAGACTCCTTTTCTTAGATACTGGGTGTTGCTGGGTGTTGGCTGCCACGCTTTAAGTGGAGTGGTTAGACCTGAATCCCAGATGGGCATAAAGACTTCTTTCATTTTTTGGCCTAGCTTTTATTGCCCATTTGACTGTGAGGGAAAATGAGCTTTCCTGTCTGTGAAGGCCATCTTACCGGTTAGTCTGTTTCATGTGAGTGGAGAAAAAAAAACAAACCCAAACAAACAAGTTTCCTGTCACTTTAAAATCTGTTATTTAATTTCTTTCTATTGCTTTTTATCCTACTTAAATGTAGCATACATATCTATGGGTGATTTTATATATTTATATTTGTGTGTGTTTCTTTCCTAGAACTACAACTACACTCATTTATCTGCTGGGGATTTGCTCAGGGCAGAGCGAGCTAGAGAGGGGTCAGAGTTCGGACAGCTCATTGCCAACTACATCAAAGAAGGCAAAATCGTCCCGGTGGAGATCACCATAAACCTACTCAGGAAGGTATGAATCATAAAAGGGAGACTCTCAATCTGGTTGGGGTTTGCCTAGCAGCAGGATTATCCTGATGTGTTGGCCTGTTTGCAGCTTCACTGCTTTGAATGCTTTCAAAACACTTCATGTAGGTCATGGGTTATCTGTGACTAATAGGAATATCTTTAGTTGTCTCATCTTGCAAGTAATGGCCTTTGGCTCTGTACTTAAACACCCAAATTGAGTGGTTATCACTGTTTCATATTCAAAATTCCCTGGATGCGGCTACAATGAGAAGTAAGTTTTTCTTTTTGCTCTATTAAGTTGAAAAATAACTATGTTGAGGTTTGAAATTTTGCTTATTTGAACGAAAACATTCAAATCTCTTTCAGCGATTAATTACTAGTTGCTACTATCTTGAGTTTGTTTAGTGGTTAAAATTGTAAGCTTTTTCATTTCTACAATTTCTGCCCAATATTTACACTGATGCAACCACACAAGAGTTAGATAAGAGGCTATTACTAACCGTTAGTACTTGTTTTAACATCCGTCATGTCTTTTGAAACCTAACCGAAACTGTTCACAGCTGCTCTTTGGGACCTACTTTGTCCTCCCCACAGTATTCAAGGACATATTTAATGGAAAATCGTGAACATCTTTAATAAGATCTTTCTGGGTGTACATTTATTTTTATTTCTTATTCTTACTGTTTTAGGCGATGGAAGAGACAATTCAGCAAGACGAGAAAAAGTTCCGATTCCTCATAGACGGTTTCCCCCGCAATGAGGACAACCTTCAGGGGTGGACCCGAGTCATGGATGGCAAAGCGGATGTCAAGTTTGTGCTTTTCTTTGACTGTGGGAATGAGGTACGTAATGGAAAAAAAAAAACGAAAAAAACTGCACAGCCAAAAAGCAGTCGGGCTGTTTTTAGTTCCGTGCTTTGCTGAGCGCATCCCGACTGGAGATGAGGACACGTTCCCCTTTATGTGCGCAGGCTTGCATCGACAGATGTTTAGAAAGAGGGAAGAGCAGCGGACGCTCGGATGACAACAGGGAGAGCCTGGAGAAGAGGTGCAGTTCACGTGTGCCTTTTGGCCGAAATGTTTAGATTTTTCTTTCTGTCCTTGAGCGAGCATGTCTGATCAGCATGACCCATTTAAGCGACTGCTGGATACCTGCGTATGTGTTTTTGACCTAATTTGCGTCTCCTCTAAATCCCCCGCGTCACCCGACCCCAATAACTAGTCCCGTTTCTCTCATGTACAGAATCCAAACCTACCTGCAGTCTACACGACCAATCATTGAACTATACGAGAAACAAGGCAAAGTGCGCACTATAGATGCCTCTCGCTCTGTGGATGAGGTAAGTAAAATGCACTCTCTCACTGAAAAGGTCCATAAAAATCTGTTATCATCCCCAATGTGTGTAAAGAAAGGGAGCATGAGAGGAAACTTTCGTGTTTATCTGAAGCTGCTGCTCTGTCCGACCTCCAGCTGCCTTGTTTGACACAGTTCCTTTCTGTTTTGGCCAAAAAAAAAAAAAAAAGCTGACTTTTGAGGACAGAGTTTTATGTGATCCTGCAGCGTGACACTGCAGAGGATAGGTGTCCTCAAATGAACCATAGGCAAACCAAAGAACCAAACCAAAAATCCAGACTCACACCTTTATGCATCTTTTTACATCAAGGAAGTTTATGTTATTTAGGCCTGCGCGATATTAGGAAAATGTAAAATGAAACATCATAGCCGAGTAGTTCAAATAAAGATATGAAATTTTGGATACAAATATAAACAATTCTACACGTAGAATTTCTATTTATTGTAAAATAAACTACTTCATTTTACATTATGCATTAATGAGAAGAATGTGCCCCCCATTTTATACCCTAAACCTACCTAGTTTTATGTCCAAACATCTCTGAGTTATTGATTTATGTTCTAGAAAGCACATATTTTCAACATTCTATCTAGTCCTAATATTAATACAACTTAATTATCAAGAAAGCTACTGTAATTCAAGTAGTATGCCTTGAAAATGTTTGCCAAACAGTCTGCAATGTCAAACATTGAATTCAATTCAATTTTATTTATATTACACCAATTTACAACAAGTCATTCAATTAGATTGCTCTAAAACATACAAAGTCAGTTGTTATATAGTTGGATTTTTTTTTTTGGATGCACCAAAATTTCGTAATGTGTTGATTATTTGGGGTTTCTTAATAATGACGAGTACGGCCTATGTTCAAACTTAGCATGCAGCTTAAAGGAGGAATGAAAACGGCTGACATTTTTAAAAATAATTTTGTATTAAAATCCCCTGAAAAAACTCAAAAGAAGTCTTTTCTGAGTAAACGATCTCTGAAATACAACCATTACTGCAGTTCCTCTTATGTCACCTGACAATATTACATCCGTAGATACTTTTATCTGTAAATAACGCATTTGATTCCACTTGAATTAACACGTGCAGCTCAAAAGAAATTCAAACGAAACGTTTCTCCACATTCCAACCCAACGGACAACTGTCCATTTTTTGCCGGCCAATCATTTCCAAAGCACGTATCAGCTGAGCGATCTCTGTCTGAAGAGTCTCTCTCTCTCTCTCTCTCTCTGTCGCCCCGGAAACAAGTCGGACCTGCTCAGTTTCCAGGTCTGCCCGGGCAGGTTGTCCTCTCCACCTAGAACAATAGCTCCCACTTTCAGCTATGTGGGCACAGGATTCTTACACAGCTAAGCGAATGTCAAGCCCATCAAGTATTCCTCCCTCCAGCTCTTCCATTCGCTGGGTTTAAAGTTTCCATCTCTGGGCCACTGCTCCGGAATAGTGGAGTCATAGTGTTTGCCGGTAAGGACTATGGCCCGATCCCAACCAACAAGTTTGATGCTTCACTGTCGGAGAACATGACCTTTTCACAGCCCTCAACGTGCCAAAATCGTTTTCCAGGCTTGGATAAACCTTTCTGACAGGACCTCTGAAGGCTCCGGTCCCATGACAGAACAAGTGAAAAGTGGAATATATGTCTCTGACCATTTTTTTTTCTCGAAACTTGACGTAAAGTGAATCCTGTAGCAGTAACTCCGAATTTTTGTTTTGTTGGCGGCTTCGATGGCTGTTGCTCTGCTGGAGCTAAGGTCAGAATACTCAAAACAAACAAGGATATTTTCATCTCGAAATCGTTTCAAGTCCTTGATTTCTGACACTCGTTACACATCTGTTCCAGCCCTCAACCGACTGACTTCTTGCCTAAAACTATGTTCTCGGCCCATCTTCATCCAGCCCACTTCTGCCGTGCAGTTAGCTCCCCGCGTGTTTTCGAACTAGAACAGACATTTGTTCTGCATCTTCCTACCCATGCCGTCACTCTTACCACCCCTTCTAAATCTTCTGTAGTTCAAGGTGTTAACAATAGCTCAACTTGTGTGCCACGGCCTGGAATTTAGACCCAAAATCGGCATTCAATTCATGCGCAACAACATCCTTATCACCACGATCTGACTGGTCCACTCGTTAAGTCGGCTGACGTCCACGTTCAAGGGTTCGAGGAGATTATTTCCCCTACCTTGTGCTCCAATCAGCGCACCCATCTGCTCCTAATGTCACAAGGGAATTTCCTGTAATAGTGCAACCCTTGATTTGGATGCTGCGAAGCGTGAGACAACTTCTCCTTCCTCATTTGTGTCCTTTCAGATAGGCGGCGGCACTGTAGGCTTCCTCGCTTGCATCACAGTTAACATGCAGTCTGACTGGCTACATTTTGCTGGATGTCCACCACCGGGTGGAGGTTTGGAAACTCTGTCTATAGCACTGGTCCCATTTTCAGTCCAGCATTAGGGTTTGTCCCAGCTGATTCTCCATGAAGATTCTGGTTTTTATGTCAGCAGAACATTTCTCCTTTTTTTTCTTTTTTTGATTTTCAATGCATAAAGTAACAAAAGGAGACTCTCTGAGGGCCTGGATTGACTTAGGCTGCACCTTTTCATAGCGTCTGATATCTTTCCTCATGGCTGCAGCCAACAGGAACAGGCTGTACTCAGCATCAGCTCATCCTCAGCTCATCCTCCATCCCTGCTTGGTGGGCCTAACAGCACCTAACAGCATCCGTACTCTCCCACGCCATCTTGTGGAGTCTCCGACTTCAGATTTGGGCTGAAGTTTGGCCCCGTTCTAAAACCAGCCGGACCGTGGCCCTCGAGGGACCGGCTTTGGGCACCCTCGCTCTATGACCTCATTCTAGCCATGTGTACGAGGTTGCATCCATTTTCAGTTTCCTCTAAAGGCTTTTGAACCATCTTTTTGGTTGTAAAACCGATAGGGGTATTCTCTCTTTTTCTTTTCTTTTTTTTCTTGTTTAAACCTTGTCCTGTTCAGCAGAACTCTAGCAGACACTGCACTATTTTTCTACCACCTCAGCCCTCTTATTCCTGCTTTGAAGTCTGAAGCAGCATTGTGTTCTCTCTACATGGATTTTTTTTTTCCTTTTAACCTTGCTGGAAAACGAGCCGACCCAAAATGCTTAACTCCGCAGAATTGAGCTATTTGTCTAACTATCTCAATTTTTCTCTGCGAGCAGCCGCTGAGTTCTATGGACAACTTTCCCTTTTAATGGCTAGCATTTTGGCAATATACACACATCTGAGGAAAACTGCTCATGGTATACTGTGCAGCTGTAGAGGGAATGTCCCTTTTTTTATTTTTCTTATTTTCTAGGTCTGTTTTCGTTGAAGGATGCTTGCCTGAAGGAGGATTTCTTATTTGTCGTAGTAGTACGTAGCCCTGTAAGTCGATGTGCTTTTTCTCTGAGCTGGGCCTCCATTCGCAGGATCCCGGTCAGCCGTCATACCTTCGATTCACCATCCCCTGAAATGACTGGACAGAGCAAGCGGCCGTATGTGTCGCTGTTTACTCCGAAAAGTTTCCAAGCCGCCGAACTATATTTAACACTCGTCGTGGACGTGTCCGAGGGTTTCTGAAGCATCTCGATTTTCTAGCTTATTTGCGTCAATCACGATACTCGAGCATCTGGTCTGTCTGATTTAAAAAAAGAAAAAGAAAGCTTTTCTCTGTTGGGCAGCATTTCATTTCCATGAATAGAAGTTTTATTTTGAGACCAAAATGCTAAATACCAGTACCGGTATTGCATATCTTCTGATATGTCACCTGACTGGGTTACAGCTGTATGTAATACATTTTATTCCCCTGCCAATAACCATGAATTAGCATGTGTGTCTCTTTCTATCAAACATTTCTGAACATGTGATATCCATGGCCTCACAGGAATGTGACGGAACTTTGCCTGTGAGCTTTCCCACGGTCAAGGAGGCCGATGAAACCGTTCCAGCTGTGCGAAAAGTAAGCCCCCCCCCCTTTGCTCTCTTCCAGGTGTTTGCTGATGTGAAAGCCACCCTGGACAAAGAAGGCTGAGTTTTCTCCTGCTGCCAGCAACATTCACTTGCATTTTAGTTTTCTTTTTATCAATCACAAGTATTCAAGTATACATTTGAATAAGTTTTTATGTTGGTTGTGTTTTTTTGATTCTCTCTCTTTCTTTTTTTTTTCCTGTTTTTTGTAAATGCTACAGTTTAGTGTGTACGTGATAATTGTTGATATGAATGAGAGGTAAAGATGCCCGGCAGCTACTCTGTACTCAGCCAGTTCTTGTTCAGAAAAGCTTGCATTTCGGTGTCTTTCGTCCTAGTCTGAGGCCTTTGCAGTGGAGTTTTACGTACTAGTGACTGATGGAGACTCTTCATTTTACGGAAACGAGAGTGCGAGAGTCTTCAAGGAAAATGTCTATTTATCACCAATGTCTTCAGCGCATCATGACGTAAAGAGAAGCAGCCCCTCATGCTTCAGACCAAATAGCCGTGCGACCTGTCGACAAGGACCGAGTTGAATCTTCTCTGAACAGCCAATAAACTTGTCTGGCATCCAAATAAAATCAATGCAACACCAGTCCCATGTTAAATGGTGAGCACTGCAGAGGTGTGACTAGTTTCTTTACAATGTGAGGAGCCGCATGTGTGTCTCTGATGATGAAGGCGGAGCTAAGTTTGTTGAAATGTTTGGGTGTTTGAAGAAGGATACATTAAGTTCAAGAGTTTTAAAAGAAAGGTTTTCTCTATTTTTTACTGTAAATTTGCTTTAATTTTGTTGCTTTTTTATTATTTAATACCACGCCACACATTATAGTGGTTAAGATTTTCATCATGAAAAACCACGGAAGCATTTTACAAAAACTCATGGTCTGAACTCCAGAGTCGTCAGATGATCAGCCAGCAGGGGGTGCCTGATACCAAATTCTAATGTGTTCTCAATTTGGCAGGTTTGAAGGATTCTTTAGTCAAGAAATGCGAAAAAAAATCAGAAAATAAATTGAGAAGTTAAAGATGTCTCGTCTAAATGTGTTTGCTGTTTTTTTTATTTATTCAAGCTGTTATATTTGTGTTTTTTCAACTCATTGCTCATTTGAGGTTTCATCCTCCTGGATGTGGAGAGGACAGGAAAGAAGGGACATAAAGCATCATAAAGCCGCTCAGCGATGTCTTCTGATTATTAGAAACACAAGTTCATGACAACAACAATGTTACATGTACATGAAGAGAGCAGAGTGAGGGGAGTTGCATCATGAGAGGTCCACCATACTAGTCCTTTCACTCTCATGATGCGTTTCTAAGAAGCCTGACATATATCGTCGGACATCAGGTTCCACAATAAAGGGGCAGAAACAGGGAGGACAGTCATTTGCTTTGACTGGCGGGGGCTTGAGGGAGCAACAAGCATCGTAGTACCTGACCAGGAATACCTGCCGCGAAACAGAAGCACAACTAACTGACAATAAGTTGTGGTTTTTTTAGCACCATCTCCTCATAGCAAGATGGTTCTCGGTTCGAGTCCCCGGGGGAACCAGGACCTTTCTGTGTGGAGTCTGCATGTTCTCCCTGTCTGCGTGGGTTCTCTCCGGGTTCTCCAGCTTCCTCCCACCGTCCAAAAACCTGATTGGACTCTCCAATTGGTCCTTTGGAGTGAGTGTGAGTGTGCGTGGTTGTTCGCCCTTGTGTGTCTCTGTGTGGCCCCACGATGGACCGTCCAGGGTGTACCCCCGCCTCTCGCCCATTGAATACTGGGTTAGTTGAGTCTGTTTTTGCTTCTTGAACCCATAGTGGCAGCCGGATTGATAAATATCACTTAATCAAATCTTTAGTCCTTTAGAGCAATATATATGAGAGGTAAAATCGAAAACTCTAGTTTTAAAATTAACAGTGAGGCAGTCAAGAGTTTTGAGGTGGCCTCGAGCCATAGCAGCCATGGAAACTTGCTGATTTCAGTCTATTCCTTTTGCTTGGGCACACCACCAAACACCTTTTGTGTTTGTTTAGCCACACAACATTGTGGCGCAACCTTTCAAATAATTAATAAGATATTTCTCAAGTACAAAGTACATAAGAGATAGCATATTAATCTGGCAGCAAGTTCATTCTAAAGAGCTATTCACTGGAAATTTGCCAAATATCTTTACATAGTCAAGTGTTTTTAAAAAGAAAATGATCAAGCAGAAAATAAAGAAAGGAAGTGATATCCATACAAAAAAAAGATGAATGTAAAATGTAGGACTTATTAGTATTTACTGAAGATTCATCAGATATAGCCTCCACGGGAGGGTGGCTGTTCTACAAGCCTTGCTTTAAGGAAGGAAAACGGGGAGAAATGGCAGTCACACTTAACGACGCAAAAAAAAGTGGTTTTCACTTTTACAACAAATTCAGTCTTATTGTGGCCCCTTCTTCACAAACAACAACACACTCCAAGTGATGAAGATGATTTACAATACACATTTTATTTGTTTTAATATACATAAATATATTTCCTATATACAGCGTATATACATACACAATCTGTCATTTCATAGACATCTGTTTACATACACTAATATTCCTGAGTGTTTTTAGCTTGAGGCCTGGTGTCTGCACTTAAAAAGCTTAAAGGTTTCCAAACCAATCGTACCTTAGCGTACCATAGCATGCATAGTCATAACTGTACACCTGTGCCAAGCACCACCTTTATAATGCAACATAAAAGCAGTCGGAAACAGACGGGGATTTCACAATGTCCCAATGAAAATGCCTAAAGCATCAGACTGGGATATTACCAAATACAAAAGACTTGAGGGTAATAAATGTGCTAGTTTATATTAAACCTTAGTCTGTGTATAAAAAATTAAAAAACGATCTCACTGGGAAAAAAAAGATCATTGTGTGTCGGCACCACAAGAAAGAGCACAGAGTACAAATACAAATGAACACAATAAGTGCTTGGAATGGGGTAAAACCAACCAATGAGAACTTTCTATGTGGAAATGCTAGCATGAAATTATGATCTTATATATTACAGCATCAGGAGTATGTGCAAAATACCCAAATTACTATTTAAAAAAAAAAAGGAAAATATATGTACAATACTTTAAAGTTTCTTCAAAGTCTGTACAAATAGTGCGTACCACAAATGGTGACACAGCAAAACGAGAAGCTGTTATTTGACTGACAGTAAAGCCTACTGCAAGTAAGAAGAAAAAAAAAAAACATACTTTCTGTAGTACTCTGCCAGCAAGTGGCAATCTGAAAATATATATTATCTTATTTACAAAAACAGCAATGAGGGGAAACAAAATTACTGCATAAGACCACATTTTCAGTAAGTTCATGGCATTATGAAACAAAACTGTAACAGTGATTCTCAGAATAAAAACATGGTCATGTTGAGATATTTTCCAAAAACAAAGCAATAGCTTTTTTAAATTCACATTCAAGAATTACATTCTGTTGTTAGACATTCAAGAGGAAAGCACAAATTATTGTCTTTAAAGCGTCACAGAGCCCACTCGTGAGAAGTGTGCGTCATTTACAAGCACGTAGAAGGCAAACAAATGTGAATGTTTCTGTTTGTGTTTGAGGAAAAAGAAGCATCCTGCGCGACGCGGTGAAAGGCAAACTCCAGCGTGCTCAGCAGGCGTTCACCTGGCCTGTCACCATGTTGCTGGGAGACCTGCGGTACTGAGCCTTGGTGTTGGTGACGGCGCCGTGCTTCTGTCTGAGATGAAGCCTGAGCTGGCTCTTGTGTCTAAAGTGGAGGTCACATTTTTCACACTACAGGGAAAGACGGAGAAAAAACAATGAGAAAAAACAACAACAACAAAGAGTTTCATCCACCTGTTCAAGAGCAACACCTCACGGCTCAGTTAAATGACCACCAACTACTGATTTATGGATCACATGGAGGCGAGGGATTACTCCCCTTTTAGACAGGATATGTGGATAAGGAGGAGAGGTTAAGTAGGAGGCTTACATGATAAGGCTTTTCTCCAGTGTGAATGCGCATGTGGCTCTTGAGTGTCTGGAGGTGGCGAAAGTGTGTTCCACAGATCTCACAGGGGTAGGGTTTTTCTCCTGTGTGAATCAGCACGTGGGCACGCAGGTGGGCCACCTGAGGGGGAGAGGGGAAAAAAAAAAAAAAAAAAGATTACAAAATGTTCAAAGACAGCCAACAGATTTTTATTTGAAAAAGAATTCGAAAAAAATTCTTCCTCCACTTCCTCCTTTCCTTCGTACCTGGACAAATCGGGAGCCGCATGTCTCACACTTGTATGGCTTTTCTCCGGAGTGAATGCGGGTGTGGGTCTTCAGGTTGGCCGGCCGGTTGAACTGCGCGCCGCAGATGTTGCAGTGGTACGGCTTCGCGCCTGCGAGGCAACGGGAGGAGGAGGCCGGAGGGGTTAGCGATCCGTCCGCTCGCGGGGAGGGCCGCGTGCACGTGCACGGGCGCCGGCGGGAACTCACCGGTGTGAACGGTCTTGTGGCTGGCCAGGTTGCCCTTGTAGCGGAAGGCCGCCTGGCAGCAGTCGCACTTGTACGGCTTGTCGCTGTGGACCTGGGCCATGTGTTCCTTCAGCGAATCCTCCTCCATGAACTTGGAGTCGCAGCCGTTGCAGAGGTAATTATTTTCTTCAGGAGAGAGGTAAGGAAAATTGTTATTAAACTACGTTCTTAAAACCAAAACATATAGCCTGGGTGTTGGGCGGCGTGGGGGGGTCTGCTTACCGCTGCTGTACGAGTCGGGCGAGTGTTGATCGCCTTCCGAACCCTGGGGGCTTTCGCAGCTGCAGGAGGAGCATCTTTGAGGGCTGCGAGAGTCAAACCATACAGTTCAGATACATTTCCATCTCATGGACGAGGCTAACCAATGATTTAGTGTGAGCTCCTCTGGGGATCTCTAGTTTTTACCTGATGCTGCAGCACGTGTGGAGGCTCTGGGGCTCGGGCGCTTCCTCCTTGTGTCCGCCGGCTTCGTCCTCCGTCTGAAGCGCGTCTGACGCGCCACTGCCGCAGGGGCTCAGCGAGGAGGGCGACGGCGCCCCGACGCTGCCCGCCTGCTCCTCCTTTGCGTTCTCGCAGGGCGATGGGTTCATCACGATGAACTTGTATTTCTTCCAGTTGTGGGGCCTTGTGTCTTTGCAGCCCGTGTCGGTGGGCTGTTTGTGGCCCGCGCCGGCGTTTATGCTGCTGCTGGACTCAGTGGGCGAGTTCGGCTGGCAGTCGGATCTGAGTGGGCTCTGAGGGCTACATATGACGCCTTTGCTGTAGCCTGGGGACAATCTCAAACAGCTGGCTTGTGGGTGATTGAAGTTGTCCTCCTCCATTGGAGCCGCGGGGCTTTGAAAACTCCCATGGGCGACCGGCGATCGGCGGATGGCGGAGGGGAAAGAGGAGTGGGATGGGACTGAGTGGGATATGGTGGTTGAGGACTCGATGAGGGCCATGCTGGGAAAGGACCTGACCTTATAAGAACCGTCCTGCTTCCCAGCAGAGGCACAGAGGTCGCCATAGACATGATACGAACCAGAGGTGTTGATCCCTCTGAAAACATTAGGGGTAAAAGCCCTGCACTCTTGTATAGGGGACACGGAGGATGAGGAGTTATGTTTAGATTCTGGCTCTTTCGCCCCGGCAGGCCTTAAAGCAGAGATCTCTTCAGCCAGGCTCGCTGACTTCGTCTGTACCTCTTTGACGTGCATATTCAGGGACTGATGCCTGCAGGAACAAAGTCACACGAAAGTCAAATTCCACTCATAAAGAGGCTGCTATATGTGTCTCCACACATTCTCCGCATTCTATCCTACCTGGACTTGATGAACCTGTGGCAGGTTTCAGCTACGTGTTCCATCTCGAGGTAGATGGCCGTATTCAGCGTGGCCATGACCAAGCTGTCGTTAAGGTTAAGGCAGGAAGTGTACATGAAGTCCAACAGGAGCGCGAAACCTTCGGGGTCCACTTTTGGGTCGAGGCTGATGGCACTGAGGTTTGCATTCTCAGGTTTCATGAACACGGAATAGAAGAAGCCGCTGCAGGATCGCAAAAGAAAGAGAGAAACCAGGACGCATGAGCCTCCACAAATCACGCGTTGGTCTCGCTCAGGCCTCGGCTAAAACAGGCGTGGCAATAATGAATACCTGCAGGCCACTAAGATGGCTCTGTGAGCATGAAACAGCTGTCCGTCCACCTGTACGGTGACGTCGGTCAGGAGGTTCCTGCTGCGCAGGCGATGGAAGTTGAGCAGGACATCGCCCGCGTGGCGTGTGAATTGAATACAGCCATCCACAGTCATGGCCATGCTGTCGCAATCTGTGCACGGGGAAAACCAACACATGCCATGTTCAGCGACGTACTCAAATATGTGCATACTGCCACAAGAGGAGGATGAAATACACAGATAGATCGATAGATAGATAGATATAACAAATTTCATAGTGACTTTTAACAAAACACCTTAAAGTGGCTGCAATTTAGGATGAATCTGACCTGAAAACATACTTTAGTGATGCTGGTCTTCTTTAATTTGGCAATATTAAACAGGTATAAATATATATATGAGAAAGATAGATAGATCATTCCATCGGCTATCACAAGCCTCCAGTCTCGACGGTATGTCAAAACTTTGAAGCAAACAGGTGTTTTGGTGGTGTTTAAACAGAAGATGGCGCCACTGCACAACTAAATGAGGAAAGACCCCCTGATCGGCTTCACTCCGATCTATTAAGGACTTAATGACAGCGTAGTACACGGGGTTGCAAGCGGAACCTTCACCTGACATAGTGAAAAAAATCTCAAAGCCACTTTATCAGCGCCTACATCTGTACCTTGGTCACATTTTTTTTTTAATAAACGTCAACGACTCGACACCACGGGGAAAAGGGGCCATTCTAAATTAAGTGTAAACAAAAATGACGTTAAAAGACATCAAGGCAGAGTTTTTGTCGTTCTCCCCCAGGAGTCGTGCACACAAAGAGAGCACACAAACAGACCGAAGTGTCTGCTGGCAGCCTGGGCTTTCTAAGCGTGTTTGACATTGAGCACATTCCGTCCTGCCTGCTCAGATTAACTTGCCAGTACACCGAGAAGTTTCCTGTTTCCCCCATAAAAGTGGAACTCAACTCGTCCCCCCCCCCCCCCCCCCCCCCCCAACGGCATTCGCTTAGCCAATTGCCCGAGTTATTTCTAAACCTGGAAATATTAGATTAAACGAAGATTCGCAGGATGTGATTTCAAGGAGTGGTTAGCTGTTGCTGTTAACAGACTAAGAGTTGAGCCACAGGGGCGGGCGAAATCAAGTCCTGTCAGGTTAACGAACGCCATCAAAGGCTCCTGCCTCCGAGTTTGCGAAGGATTTAAAAAAAAAAGTGTGTGTTCCATGGTTTTCGCCTCACAAACAGACCGCGAAATAGTCTGCGTGGGTCAAAATAAACACACACGACTTTGAGTCGATATGAGAAAGGGGGGGGAAATTAGCCTCGACTAAACCAGAAAAACAGGTCCGGTTGTGCCACCATTGAACGTCGCATGGCCTCAAACTTGTGAAACGGTGCATTAGCTTGACTTGCATAAAGCAGCTTGTAAAAGCTGGTTAAGACTCAAAACCAACGGCACAAAACAGCTGCGTTTACTAAAACGAAAAGACCTAGTTAATGTCACAAGCCTTAATAAATCAAATACAATTAAATGGTGTAAAAGTTCCATAAAAAACACCCAGACGACACTTCAAGCTCAATAACAGTCCAATTGAGGCAATTAAAATGAGCACCATAGTTCAAAACATAATAGTTCACTTTTTAAGTAAAGAAATAGAACGAGAATGTAATGTAAGATATATTAAGTCCAGAAGCAGCCGGGACTGATACGTGATACAACACATCTGCCCTAATGCTGAGAAAAGAGGAAAAGGAAAAAAAAAATCACCTTGTAAAAGTTTCCTCGAAACTCCGTACATCACCAGTTCTGAGAATCCAGTTCTAAGAAACACAGCAGCTCAATTCTCGGAATTTCAACACAAGACCGTACCATCTGCTGCACAGCGGGGGAGCTACGACGAGCAATTTTCTTTTTTACAGAGCAACAGACGCATTTGCGGGAACAATACAACGATAGTGTTTTGTATAGAATTATATAAAGATAGATTGATATGTTTATTATTGTGTATTATGAAGAAATTTACCAGTAACTTGTTTTACTTCAGTGTTAACTAATCTCCCCACGGAGTGGAAGGTTCCAAGTGCAAGGTCAGCTGACTGTGTTATAAATACTGTGGGGAAAGAAGCGTGTGTTGACTTAATCTGGCCCAAGGACTGATTAAAATAGGGGGAAAGCCGGACGTTTGCACTCGAAGAATGTGTAACGTGATGTTGCCCATCTTGCAGTATCCAGTACCCCATCAAACGCACGCGTATTTGTTTTTGTTTTTTTACTTTGACTTACTGTGTGAAGATTATTTCCTAGTATCTCCCTCCGCCAGAAGTTAAACCGTCAACACCGTCAACATATCAGATGTCAGACAACATTTATTTCAATCTCTCCATGTTTGTAGTCAGAAAACACATTCATTATGGTTCTGTTTGTATAAAAAAAAGGCAAGTTAGGTGTCGCCACTATTCAACATAAGATATGTGGTAAGTCCTTAATGCTTTACAATAAAAGCAATATGATTATTTTTGTGTCACTATAAACTAAACTTTCTCATGCACAAGCCATCTCCTGTTCCTGATATCAAGAGTCTGACTATAGACCATACTTTCCCTCATTGTTACATAGTATATTTGCAGCTATATTTGTCCCTTTTAAATAAAGTGACATGCCAGTTAGCTCATTAGTTCTACACTAAGTGCTGTGGAATTTGTGTCAGTTATGTAAAGCGTTACTTAATCTGGCCTGATCATATGTTGAAAACATGAGTGGCTCATTAGAAGGTTTAACTCTGCCCATGTGCTGGGGTGTCATTTAGCTGTGGGCTCATATGAGAGTAATTTTGCAAATGCTGCCAGAGCAGTTCAACAAATTTTAATCACCTAAACATTCAGGAGAGATGGTTGCAATATCTTTGTTTTGTTTTTTAAATGTATCATTTTTTAAATCTTCAGCTCTTTGTGCAGATTTTAGTAAGCTAATGGGAAAAGCATAAAATGCTTAAATGAGACAGTTTCAACTTTAAAAAGAGTCACAGGAAGTGAAGGTATCACTTTGAAATCTGCAGCAATTTCTTTCAATCTTACGAATTACTGTTTAGTTTGGGAGATGGCAGCACGTTGGTGTGATTATTAGCACCATCGCCTCACAGCAAGGTTCAAGTCCCCGGGGGACCCAGGACCTTTCTGTGTGAAGTTTGCATGTTCTCCCAGTGTTTGCGTGGGTTCTCCGGCTTCCTCCCACTGTCCAAAAACCTGCATGTTAGGTTGATTGCACATTCCAAATTACCCTTAGGAGTGAGTGTGCATGGTTGTTCATCCTTGTGTGTCTCTGTGATGGACTGGTGGACCATCTATGGTGTACCCCACCTCTCGCCCATTGACCACTGGATAGGCTCCAGTCCCCCCGCGACCCCATTAGGGAATAAGCAGTTGCGATGATGCATAGATGTTTAGGGGTCTATTTCTGAGCCTACTATGCATTTTTGTGGGATCAAATGTTTGTGTAAAGGGTGAAGGCTCTAAATGACATCATCTTTTTATTTTACTAGCTACTGTCCACAATTTTTGACAGTATGAAAAAAGTATCCTCTCCATCACAACAAGTCTGTCATAGCTATCAGAAGGATATGTATATGCAGCCTCTGAATCAAAAGAATACCTTCAAACTAACAGCTGACAGCAGTGCATATAAACTGTTAATTCATTCATGCTAATTGTAAAAGTTTTTGGCTCTGTAACACACAGAACTGCTCAACAAAGCCTTGCTCTTGCTGTGGTGCAGAAACATTAATGACTGGCGCTACGATTCTCCACAAAATGGGTAGATTTGAAACAAGAATGTTGAAGGTACCAGCACCACCGCAATATAATGCAGGAGTTGTGTTAAATGACAGTACACACATGACATTTTCTGGTGTCAGGACATTTTCTGGTCCTGCAACCATACATGTTCATGCAAGATGTGAAACACATCTTAATGACTTATAACCAATTTTGTACTTACATGACATGAGTGGACATAAATACATCCCAAAAAACGAGGCCCTCATCTAAAGATACACATACAAACACATGTACACAGGCAAATTGATGCATAGCGAAAAATTTCTTTTGTTTCATTTGACAAAGGGGCCTGACAGTTTTGTGACTACTTCTTGCTCTCACGTAAATGTGTACTAATCCAATTTAAGAATGAATAGTCCTGGCAATTACTTAAACCTTTGACCTTTTGTCATAACTACTTTTCATCCCTAAATATAAACAATGTTGTGCTCAACATTATACAATTAGGCAGGCTTTCAAGTTCTACTCGCACCATATGAATATCTTCTAGACTTTTAGAATGACTGAGTAAGCCTCCAACACCTTAATCATTTTGCTCCAAGTCTTTCAGCACAATTGTTTTCCTCCTAATTATATTGCTTTTATCTTTTTGATAAAGTCTTTAGCTTCTTTAAGTACTTAAATACTTTAAGTACTACAGTTAATTTCTAAATTCCTTCAATGTGGTCTTTCCAGCCTTTAACTATTGCTATAGTTATATATATGATATATGATATATGACATATATGTATATATCAATTCAAGTAAATATAGCTACAAGAAGCATGATGTATATTTTATAGATTTTATAGATTTTTATACATTGTAAAAATGATCAACTCATCCTGAATCATTTGTCTTTTTCTTAAAATACATGTGTGCTACATTACATCAGGTGACTATGGCAACAATGTGATCTATTTAAGGTTAATGTTTTCGCTGTAGATGTTTTCCCCCTGCGGTTAGCTTTAGTGGCCCAAGTTTCTGTTGGTTTTTCATGTCCGCATCCTCTGAATGTGGGAATTTTTTTCTGGTTTGATTGAGAAGAGATATAACCAGTTCGGTGGGTTGTACAGCCTTGGAAAAACAAAAGCATCCGTTTTAACTGATTACTTGCGAGCAACAGTGATACAGAGATTTGATTAGCTAGCTGGTTTTGTAGCTTGTATCTGTGTTGAGCTTTCAGTAAGACACATTATGGGTTTGCTGGCATGCCAAAGCTGACAGAAGATAAAGCAAAATTCTGCATGTGGGGAATATCCATACAAGAGATTGTCAGCATTTTGTACAGTTGTGATACTTTTGCAGGCTGCTACACTTTTTCCTTCATATTTTTCTGCACTAGAAAAATGTGCTGAAAAAATATTAAACTATTAGTGGGTTAGGTGGCACATTATAAAGCCGAAGAAAAGCAAAGTCTTAAAAAAAATGCACTCGGTATTATACAGTTTGTTTCCCTCACATCTAACTGAACTATCTTAGCTATTTACTTTCTGCAGCGCCTATCTAAAGAATGTCATGTGTGTCAGAAAACCTAACTTTTTTGGTTTTTTTCCAGCCAACCTTGGAACAAATCTGCTCCTCTCTCCTGCCTGGCCAGTTAAACGGCTGCCCTGTGTGTTAACAAGTGATCCCCACCCCCTCTCATGAACTCCCTTGACCTGGGGCCTAGACACAGACGGATAGCAACATGCCTGTCCCAAAACATGATCCAGGCACATGGTTACCTGACAGGATCAAAGGTCATGTCAGTAAAATATTACTCAGAAATCTGTTTGCCTTTGCCCCCCTTTTTTTTCCCTTTCACAAGGAAAGAGGGAGGTGTTTGTGTCTGTTGAACTAGCAAATTGCACTTGAATTATCATGAAATCCGCATAAAAAGCTGAAATTGCACTCATCCATCTTGCTGGCACGCAACACAGCAGGTTTTTTTTCCTATATGTCAGCCCTCAAAATCTAAAGGAAAAAGCAAACAGTCCAGATTTCTTCATATATAGAACACAGCTCACCAATGTTGTTTCTTTTATCAGCTGTTTAACAAATCTACTGCATGTAACCATTAAACCCTGCATATTTTTCACATGACTCAAACACAGTGGACTCTGATCTACTGTAACCTGTGGTCTGTGACGGCCTCATGGAGATGTATTGTATGTATTTA